GCTCGGCCTTTTTTATGGTCCAGCTCTCACAGCCATACATTACTACAATCAGTCACTAGATTGTAAAAGAAGAAACTGGGAGGGGAAAATAGGTACAGTACCTCTTCCATCTCTGACTGAACAAATTAACCTTGTTCTATGTATTGTCGAAGGCTTGTTCTAATTTGCTGGGATTTTTCTGCAAGGCTTCTGATAGTAATAAAATGAATTGAATTGAATATAATAAGTAAATTCTGAATAGTCAGCCCCAGTGACATTGAGAATAAACAAATTTACTGGATGAGTACATAATTATGATTAGGCTTGAGATGTAGCATGTATATTTATTTAAGAACACTTTTATTATATTTTAATTAGTATTTATTCTTGTTTTTATTGTAAACCGCCCAGAGTTGCTCTTTGAGTGAGATGGGTGGTGACTAAATTTGAAATATAAATAAATAAATATTTGTTGATTCAGAAGGATGGGAGGAAGAAGCCTAGAGTTTAAACCCTGGAGGAGAGATGTCTTAAGTTTCTGAGTTCTGTTGTGTAGTGTGCAATCAAGCAGGAAAAGATTTAGTTCAGCTAAGACATAGCTTGGGGCTGGGTTACTTACGGGACCGTCCCTCCCCAGTGTGTCTACCGTCCTGTTAGATCTGGCAGAGGAGGCATGCTCCAGGTCCGTCTGCAAGGGAGTGTCATCTGTCTGGACCCATGGTGCCCACCCTTTGGAATATCATCCCCCCAGAAATTAGATTTTCCCCATCCCTGCTGGCCTTTCACAAGGCACTAAAACCTGGCTTTGCTAGCAAGCCTGGCGCCCTGATAACATGGGTAAGCCCGTGTCATGGCTTGTTTAAGTGGTTGTGAGTCTTCTCAGCTGCTACTTTTATATTATTTTTGTTGGTTTTAACTCTGGTTGTTTTTATTGTTTTTTATTCTGTTTTAATTGTGAGCTGCCCAGAGTGCTGTATATGAGGCGGCCTATACAGTACATTTACTAAACAAACAAACAAACAGATGTCTATGAAGTCAAGCTGAGAGGTTGAATAACAGATACGTGTCTGGAGCTTGAGGATTTATTGCCTAGCCTGGGTGTGAAGCCTCATCAGTCTGCAAGCACCCTATATGTGTCTGTCCAATTTGGACAGTAAGGGATCTTTTGGAACAGTGGTGACAGACATCTATTCTGTCAGTGCTCACTGGAGGATTTGGAGAAGAAAATCTTCCACAGGAGACTGTAGTGGACTTGTGTCAGGAACTTCTGCCGTGATCCAAATACCTTCCAAAATGACTTCCCTAGAATAAAATGCTACCATCAACTTATTTATTTACTTATTTATTAAATCAGTTTATATAGCCACCCATCTCATCCCAGGCGACTCTGGGCGGCGTACAACTTAACTTCTGTTTTCTGATCTTTTGCTTGTTTGCAGTTAGGAAGTTGCTGTCTGTGTTTCATAGTAATGAGAGAGATCTTACGGATTTGTTCAAGTGTCTTGTTTTCAAAAGTACTTGATAAAAGTGACAATATCTCCCCCCCACTTGCGCTGCTTTGTGCTTATTGAAAGCATTATTCATAATGGCACCCTGGTTTATACACATTTCAGATGCAAGTCCTACTGAAATATAGGCTTGTAATTAGATATGTTTATGCTTGGGGTGTAAATTGTTATCTTCAGCTGTCAATATTCACAGTTGCTTTCGGTTTTTATTAAGCATTAATATGTGTTTGTCACACACTGCCAGTCTTCAAGTATAGAAATCCAATTCAGGCTGTAATGAACTTAAGGTCTTGTGGCTACTTTCCAACTGTGAGTCAATTAATATTCTTTAAATTTGATCTCTTGCAATTGCTTTATGGTTTGTGCCAGACTTCACATAAGCATGGCTGTAAATCTTGGCTCTCTAGACATTTAAACTCTTATTGAGAAGTTGGCTTACTCAGCAGAAAGCTCACAGATATGATTTGGCAAGATTAGTTTCTTTATTGCAGACAAAAATGAAGGTCTGTCCATTGCACTACATAGGAATCAAAGGTATGTGCTCCAGGATTTAAATTCTAAACCTTTTACTCCCACCTTTCTGAGTCAACTGATACTTGGCCCTTCCCTTGATGAACTTGGAAGGCATCTGATCTGTTCTGCCATGCCCAGGAACTGCTGATTCCTGCCTCAGTTTTATTACTTACTTGTGTGGATGAGATTGCAAAGTAGTTTTTATTTGTTCCCATTTGTCTGAAAAAGACAAAAACAAAAAACCCAACCTTGCTGATAGTTTGGTATTTCCTAAAAGTGATTAGAAGGATGTTGACTTGGGGAAGAATTCTTACATGGAGCCTACTTTTATGGTAAAATAAAAGAATGTGGCCATATTCCTTCTGTTTCATGGTAACTTTACCAGCTGAATGTGATGAAAAGAAAAGATAACTTTAATGTCTTTGAATAAATATGAGAAGCAGAGGCATTGGGTGCACATAACCTGCTGTACTGTAAATCGCAGATTACAAACTGCGTTGCCTAAGTTCCCGTAGTACTCTATACCTATAAAGAAAGAAACTGCATGAGCAACCTCAGTTAGGGCAGGACACATGCGTTGAATCTTCCTTTCCTTCATTGCTAGAATGGTGGTGGGAGAACAGAGGAGCTTTGGCAGTATGGACGAAAAAGGAAGGTGAGCCCTGGTGAAGTGGGAGACATGAAGGCTCAACATGATGATTTGGGATCCTGAGCTAGGATAAACCCCTAATGAGTCTGACTTACCGATGCAGAACCTGTGAGTTCCAGCTGAAGTTCCTTCCAGGTTCTAGGATGGACATTAGGTTATCATATCTGGGCTTCTCAGAGATAATTTTCAGAACCAGCCAAATTCAGAACCAACCTACGCAGTGGTGAAGCTATATCTCCCATTGAAGAAGATTGTGGCATAGCTACCTACGCCTAGCATCAATGAACCAGTAGCAGCTTTGATTTCTGAATCAGTTGTTCCAAATGGTAGAGGAGAGGCACTATGGATCCAACAGACAGTAGAAGTTGAAGAAAAGGTAGCTTTGAAAATGAGGCTAAAATCTTCATGAGACCTGTTATTAGCATGTAGTATTCTAGCATCTGCTCCCTTTGAACTCATCAGACAGATCCTCATTATCATCCTTTCTGATAGTCCTAACCTCAGCTAGGAGAATTGAGGAATGAGGGGCTCCCTATGATCAGGAATCTATGCCAGTCTGTCAAGACTAAGATTGGGTTTCTGCTTGATGCCCAAGTTCCAAATTCCATCAGGTTCAACAGATTGTACTCCCCAACTTGCCCAGACTTTTCTGAATATGGCACAACCTTGATGTGCATAGTGTGCCAAGAATATACTACAAATATATTCTCTGAGGGCAGGAGACCTGCTTACCTCTTTTAAAATAGAAAAGCTGAGAAGATAAATTATATGATCCAACGTCAGCAGGTGGTTAGGGAATGCATATTCTGGCATATTCAACTTTGTGTGATGGCTGCATCAACAGTGCAAACAGTGGGAACCTCAGTAATAGATATGAGTAGTGGGGCAGTGGCCTGGGTGGAACTATCTGTATTCATTAGACATAACATAGCAGATTTGTCTCCACAGATGTGGTCTTTGTTGAGAATAGAGAGTGCTTTATTCTCCACTGACTCTCCCAGTGATGTTGCCCTTTCCGGTTGGTTCCCCCTTCAGTGTACTTTTCTAGTCACTCAGTGGTTTCATCCTGCAGAAGAAGGATAGAGTCAGAAGCTGTAGAGAGCCACGTAGATGACCTTGGAGCGACTATGGAGCCACAGTTACAAAAACGACAGCATGCTTTAAGCCTGGAAATAAGGAAAGTATTGAACAGAATCAGTTCAAGGGACCAAGAATGAAATGGCAATAAGTTTACTATGTTTGCTAACTCTTGTCCATGTCTTCTTGCCAGCGGCAAGGTTTTCTGTGATTGTAGTGAATTCTTAGTAAAGGAGTTGAACCACACCCAACTACTGCTTGCTTGCTTTCTTTTGGCAGGATTCTAAGAGAGGATTGACCTCTCCTAAGTTAGAAACATAGGAGGTTGCTTTGGGTCAAAATCAGGCCATTGTCTAACTGTTGGCCCTTTGCTGGTTCACACTTGATGTTACACCATCATATGGCGAGGAGGGCAGGGGTGTTGCATACTGGGTGAACCAGCAGAACATGGCTTACTCCACAGATTGTAACTAAGCACACCATGGCTTCTTTTAGTTTTAGTTTTTGTTTTAAGCTTGGCTTATAGTTGGCTAATACGTAAAATATTACTCCCTGCACCAAATGGTACATTTTGGGCACTTGTATTTCTTCTGTGGTGTTCTTTCATGTGCCACGGTTGTTGAGGTCTTCTGTTGGCTGATGTGATAGTCTCTGAGGTTCTAGTAAATGAGTTACCTTCGAACGAGTGAACTATTCCATTTTGCTTTTATTTTTATAGGACCCATTTCCTTAGGCTCTGCAAACTAATAATTATTTATGCTTCCTATATTCATTTGTGTTGAAAATGGATGAAATCAATGTAGCCGGTAACCCTACAGATTTGATGCAGGAGTCCAATATTTTGCAAGCATTTTCTCCTCAGTGATGGGGGAGATGGGCGGGAGCTTGTTTGCATATCTCCCCCCACTTCCCCAATAAAAGGTGACACTTTGTGTATTCAGTTAAGCATGAAGGTTTCCTATCTGTTTGTGTTGGATATAACATGATGTGATAATTTGTGAAAGGTGTCAAGATGAGGCAGGCTGAATCTCATAAAAGGTCTCAGTCTTTATGACAGCAGTGACAGAAGAAGAGAAAGGTGCCTCTGTTGCAACTCTCTGTCCTTGGGGGTGGAGGAATATATTCCTGCTATTCATGTGTCCATACCTCATACATCCTTCTGTGGTAGGCTCCAAGATTAGTTTCCATCTGCGGCTTGGCTTCAGAATGAATCTCTCCCTGCCTCCGCTGATCCTGTATCAAAAGGATAGGTTGAATTGTCATGAGAAGATACAAAGGCAGCAAAGTAGACAATTGAAGGCAGAGATCAAAGTCCTGGTTCCTGTTAAAGAATTGTTTGATATTGACTGAGCTCCGCTTCTGAATACAGGTTGCCTCTTTCCCCGCTCTTTCTAACAGTCCCCATTTCTTCTCTGTTTTTCATCTTCCACCTTGTCACCTTGGTTGAAGTTGCACAACATCTAAGAGCTCTTGCAAGGACCAAAGTATGATTTTTTTGCTCTTAGTGGTTGCTCTGTTTCACTGGCTTGACAGCACAAGGAGGGGAGCCTGCTCTTTCAGAACATTTGCACCGCTAAGGGGGATCCTCATGTAAGTGGGGCACAGCTGAAGTCTCTGTTTTTGCCTGGAGGAAGCTGCTAGGAAGCTCTGGTGAGAAGGAACTGGGCTTACTTTTATCTTCGTCTCTTTCCTGAAAATCAATTCATTTGAAAGCATATTGTAGAAATTTAGAGAGAGAGAGAAGGGGGTGGGGAGCTTTCTGGCGCATGGCTTATGATTTGTTCATCCTTTGTACATATAAATTTTATTTCACTTGGAACCTTAAGATTTCCATATGCATAAACTATATTTTGAAATATTTCACATTTGGTAAATAACATGGTCCAGGATATAGCCTGCTGAAAACCATTTTCCGACCATCAGTGTGTAGTCCATAGACTCCTGTGTATTACAGTTGGAATTTCAGCAAGTAGTATTTGTCTCCTCCACAGCTTACTAAAAGTTCCTCTTGTACATCTTCCTGCACAACTATCTGTAGTCGTCACCTGTATTTATTTTCAAAAATAGGAAATTGAATTCTATGTTATATGGAGAAGACTCTGTTTGTATTTAAGACTAGTAACTCTTCTGACAGCCAGGCAGCTAGGAAGCACTAGTTGTGTTCTGATTACTTTGGGGCTATTTGAAGAAGTGTGAACTCCCTACTTAGGGAGAAGAACTGTTTCCTAACTTTACGATGTGTGAACGATTACATATTTGCCTTGTTTGCTTTGCGCGTTGTAACACAGCTGCATATGGCTTTCTTATACAAGAATCACGGGGTTTATTTTGCTTAACAACAGAAATATTGGGCTTTGTTCATAAAAGCTGGATCTGGTATCCTTTTGGAGAGAGCGTGCATGTACAAAGAGAGAGGGTTCACTAGCACGGCTGTTGAAAATGAAACAGACTTCCCGTATTTTCCTGCCTGCATCCTTATGAGGAGAGAGGGTGGCTTCAGTGCTCAGAGGCAACCAGCTGTAGATGTTTGCTCCTGTTTCTTTTCAGATTTTGAGTTGCGCTTTTCATTTGAGGGTAACATGTGCTCTTCACCTCATCATCTTCGCTGCTTTAAAATATTCTGAAACACGTTAAAGCTCTCCTTCCTTTGTTATTAGTTTTAAGAAGTTCTGTTCATTTCAGCCTATTGCAACGACGCCACCGCATCCTGGATTGAAGGAAGAGCCACTGAGCCAAAGCAGCAGTGGGACCCAGATTTCAAGCACCAGCGGTGTTTCCTTGGGAGAAGCCATTAGGCGTAGGTCTGCTTTGAATAAGGTAACTGGAATACCCTCAATTACTTCTTTTCCCGGTTGGAATAATCATGTAGCAACACAGAACTTTAGAGAAGCAGTTGTTTAGCCACTCGCTGGATAGAAGAGACGCATGCCTTTATGTGGAACTTTGATATGGGTTCCCTTCATGTCTATTAACTATGAAGCAGGAGATGGAGATTGATTCCCGTAGCTCCTTTCCCCTTCCCCTGCCTGTCCCTGACTTTTGCCCACTCCCCAAATAGCTTAGGAGTTTCTTGCAAGTATCCGTTTGCTGAGAAGTCTGTCTGTGCTGACCCTGGGCCCAACTAACCAGCTGTGCTAGATGGGTAACCTCTTGCTACATTGCACACCAAAGACACCCCCACAGTTCTTTTCAGCAATCTGCTACCACGCCACTTCATAGATTGGTGAGTCCACCTAGAAAGTGGACTGGAGGGATCCAGGCCTTCTGGAATAAGATTTCTTATATGTGTGTTCAGTTTTGAAAATGTGCTGTAGAGGAAGAGGGCAGGCTCTGTGAAGAAAGATTGCACTGATCTTGTGTGTGTGTGTGTGTGTGTGTTATCTGTGTATCTGTATTTTTGCTTTTCTTTCTTCAGGAGATGGAAACATGGTATCTTCCTCGTGCAGAAACAGATAACAGCAATCTCATCATGACTGTAGGATGGGGAGTTGGCCAAACCCAAGGAGACTGTAACATAACAGAATTTCCAACTATGGAGGAAGGCTTGGTCACTCCCACCGTGAATTCTAGAAGGCATCAAGCATCTGAAATGACTCACTCCCCCCTACTGGGTATGTTCAGCCCTGTTTAAAAACTTCACATTTATCAAAGTTGGGTTTGCAGACTTCAAAAGGAAGCATAGTGCCGTTAGAGCAACTTCAGATTTGAGGCCGTTCCGTATCAGCAGTATTTCACCTCCAGCCCCGTTCTTCTGCGAGGCAGTTTGAAAGCCCTCCGCCTCCTCTAAAATGCAGAGAACATTACGAACCAGTCAGTGCTTCCCTTCTTTCCCTCCAGTTGACTAATAGGAGACGGCAAAAGACATCCTTCCCCCAAGCCACTCAGAGAGAAATAATTTGCTAGCACTCTTTCCACCATCCATTTCTTTCACAGCTGTACTGTATTTGTGTGCCTGCAAGGTGTGCCAGAAAATCTGAGAGGGTGTTGTCATGGGAAACTGAGTGAGGGAAGATTGATTAATAAAAGCACTGAAATCCTCCAAAAGCACCTCTCAGCTGTAAAGGTGAAATGATGCAATGTTGACAGGGTGCAACCGGGCACTTTTCCCAGTAGCTGTGACTGGTGGCATGCTGCTACAGCAACTGGATGGAGAGAGGAGGATAGAGTACACTTACAGGAAGAAATAAGCTCTAGGAAGATGGTGCTGAACCTCTGTGGGGGAGGGGAGAGTAATTTGGCTTGATATTTACTGGGGCTTATGTGCCACTGCAGTCCAGCAGGACTGATGGCCAGCTTGAGTTCTCAGGAGCCAGGAGGTGGCAGGAGGGAAAAGTTCTCACCAGTGAGAAAAGGGACTGCCCACGAGAGTTGCAGGACTACTGTGATTCAGTGAAAAAAGACAGTTTTGCTGTGATTTCCATTATATCCGACCAGAGTTAGAAACACATCAACTCATCTCTGAAAAATAGACTATGTTCTACAGTAATATCTTTGAATCAGTCCTAAAGTGATGGTAGAAGTTTGGCGTGGGGTAGCCTTGGTCTTCACCTGCCTTCAGGTGATACTACTCAGTTCCTATTTTGGCTTCTCCTTTAAAGAAAATTGGGCTCAACTTACCAAGAGAATAAAATATGAAACATTTATCAGGAAATGAACAGAGAATATCTATACTTTAAACATGTTTATATATTCACGGCTAATAACTTATGTCCGAGGATGTAGATGAAGTGTATGGGGAAAAAAATGCAATGATCTCATTTCACATCAGGGAAAGCCAACAAGGAGCTAAGCAGCATCTGGATAAGAAAGGTGTAGATATTTCAGAAAATGCTGCTAGCAATAAGGTCAGGGTTGGAAATGGGTTAATGGATAGGCATGACAACAAAGAGATAACAAGACAGTGAAAAAGGCTCACACCATTAACGTTTGAAAAAGAACAAGCTGTATAAGTATTTCTGGGTTAGCACTAGAAGTCTCTGAGCAAACATCAGGGGATAGGAAAACTGCTTTGCAAACAAAAACCTACGTATAGTGGATAGAACAGAAACCTGGTGGAGGGGAGAAATCGATGGGGTATTTGGGCATTCCTGGGTACCTTATAGAAAGAAGAAGCTAAAAGAGTGTACTAGGGAAATTATTTCTCTTTATATCAAAGAGGATATAAATTAAATGTACAGGAAAACACAGGAAGACCTACATCTTCCTTAGAATCACTGTAGATGGCAATGTCTGGCCATAATTGTAAATTAGAACTAGGGATCTGTTATGATAGAACCATAACATATCCCTAGTTCTAGGCCAGATTAACATTAATCCTGCTTGGGCAAGGAAACCTGGAAGAAATTGCTGAGCAGTTGGTTGGATACTTCTGGAAAACAGTGTATTGATTAGTAGAAGCCAGCTTGTGTTTATTAAAGTGAGTCATGCCAGACCAATCTTAATTACTTTTTAAAAATAGAGTTACTAATTGGATAGTTCACGGGGGGACTGTGGCCATAATACAACACGATTTCAGCTAAGCATGTGGGTTAGATGTCAGCCATTGGAAGAACCATGCTTAAAGAGTGCTTATGAATAGCATTTAATCAAGCGGGAGGAAGGTCTCACCCAGGGTGCCCGTTCAGCAAGTTTGTAAATGACGGGGATGGGGCAGGTATCTCAGGAGGCTTATTGCACTTGTAGAGGGTATGAAATCCTTAAGTGTCTGGCTCCACTGATGGTGGAAGAAGCTGGCCTGGAAAACTGGGCTTTCTGTTGCCCAGAAAGTTTAGCCGAAGCTGAGGAGTGTTGTGATAAGGATGCTGGAGCTATAGATCCTGTCTGGAGGAAGAGGAGGACGAGATGGCCTCCATGTTAATCTTGTGATTCCTTGGTTCTAAACCTGAATACTGTAAGCAATAAAACTAAATATATAATTGAGGTAGTCCATGAAACCATACCAATGGGTATGGCATGAAATTTAAAAAATAATTTGCTTTGATTTCATTAAAACAAAGCTTGCAATTAAGTCTGTGCTTAATTAATGTACACTTCAGTGGTTATCATTCAGGAACAAAAGAATCTCCTGTTTTTTGAGAAAATGCTATATTGTAAAGAACATTTCTAGTCTCCCAAGTTTTAAATAACATTTTGTAGGACATCAGGAGGCCAGATTTAAAAGCCAATTGGAGAAGCCCCCTTGATGAAAAAATTTCTGTGCAGATTTGAGATGGACTAAGTAGTCAGTGATGCCAGGCACCTGCACTGAGTCACTGCAGTTCTGCCTAGTAACAAATTGATTACCATTTCAACAGGAAAGGAAGGCAGACAGACATAATCCACCTACATGCTCTCTACGTATATGACAGACTGGTTTTTAAACACAGGAAGTTGAACATATATGAAATACAGCTGACTTTTCTTAAAATGGAGTCTGAACAAGCTAATAATGCTTCATTGGATCATGGAACAAGAGAGGACATTTCCTGTTGCTCTGTACAGACACCTTTTGAAATTGACCAAGAGCTTCCCTTGCCAGTAACCCCAGTCTGTTTTTTCGCTATTCAGCCAACCATGTCAAATAATTTCTAGATTGCTGTTTCTACATACATGTCACTGGGCTTCAGGAGGATGGAATTCATGGGTGTGCCAGCTTGAACATCAAGGAGACAATAGTGGTAACTGTTGACCCAGTTAACTCAGGTCATAGTGCAAAGTGGCTACTCAGACTTGAATCACAGTCCACAGTAGATGACCCACTGTCACTGATGAGCATTCTTTGAGGATGGCTTGTAAGCCAGCTGTGGATGATGCGCATGACAGCTATGTCATCCAGCCCAAACTTAATTAGTTTTTTAATCAGAATGTCGTGGGGTACTTTATCAGATGCTTTGTAGAGTCAAGATACTTTCAGAGCATTGCTATAATCTAGTAAGGAAGCTAACTGCTAAAAAATGAAATAATAAATTGGATGTCTGCTTCATGATAAATTAATGGTGACTACTAATAACTACTGTGTGAGCAGGCATTAAGAACAGACATGCTATTTCTTCTCATGTCTGGCCCTTGTCCAACAAGAAATAAGAATGGGTGAAATTTTAGGGAAGAGGAGACGTTGCTGGTGTCCATGGCATCACACCAGAAAAAAGGCGAAGAGAAGAAGCTCTGAAGATGATGGCATCTGAAGGAAGAGTTGGGGCCGGTGTGCAGAAGCAGGAACAGTGCTGATGGAATAGCAGGGCAATGGCTGAAGAGAGACCTATTTAGAGGGCCCAGGCGTGCTAGCAGTCCAGAGGGGGTCCAAGATAGTCATCTGGGCAGTGGACTGAGGATGGCTTTGATGGCCACTCAGCAAAGAGGCTAGACACACGTGGACCATTGTTTCACAAGGACATAGCTGGACTGGCAGTGGCTGACGTAGATCTCCTTTGAAATACAGCCCTTTATGCTTCAAGAAATTAAAGCTCGGACAACATCTGACCATCAGGAATTTGACGAATGCTTAAACTACTTCTAGAAGAGGAAGAGTAGGAGTTGAGAAGTCCTGTGGGCGTAGGAAAGGTCTTGCTTGACAATTTGGATCCTGAGCTTTTTTATTTAGTAGTATGTGCCCACAAAGATTAGGTTGGGTAGCTAAACAATTAAAATAGATAAAATAGTGCTCCAGAACCAGAATGGTTGTAAGCTAACATATGCAAAAACCTTGTAAAGCATGACTAAGGGAGTTAAATTTGGATTCTATAATACACAGACATTTTAGAATTTTTTAAAAAAGATACTGAAAACGATATACCTCCTACGACCTGATGCTTTGTATTCTAACTTCTCTTGGCAGCTTCTGCCTCAGTTTACCTTCAGTATCTAGTCCCAATTGGATTTCCAGTTGCGATCATTGAAGATTTGGATGGTCATTCCTGCCTCGGTCACATGGTGTGCAGGCTATGACAATGCAGTCTACATAGTTGCAGCTGGTCCATGGCATGCCCATGTAACACCTCTCCTTTGTGAGCTGCACTGGCTGGCAGTAAACTTCCAACCTGGCTGTCTAAAGGTCTATCTGTTTCCAATAGTTTCTGCCCGTTACGTATGATCAGTGTCATCTGATGGGACCCAGGAAGCTGGCTTTCTCTGTCACAGCACCTGCCCTCTGGAACAGCATCTCCCCAGCGATTCATGTAGCCCCTGCTCTGCCCTTCTTCAGTCAGTCCTTAAAATACAGGTAGTCCTCACTTAACAACCATTTGTTTAGTGACCATTCGAAGTGGCAGCGGTGCTGAACAAAGGGACTTACAACCGGTCCTCGTCCTTAACCATTGCAGCACCCTTGCGGTCACATGATCACGATCCAGATGCCTGGCAACCAGCTTGCACTTACAATGGTTGCAGCGCCCCAGGGTCATGTGATCACCATTTGCGACCTGTTCAGGGGGCTTCTGGCAAGCAAAATCAATAGGGAACTGTGTGATTTGCTTAATAACTCTGTGATTTGCTTAACAGCCACGGTGATTTGCTTAATGACTGCTGCAAAAGTCGTAAAACCAGGCATGATTCACTTAACAACTGCCCCACTTAGTGAATTTTTCAGTCCCTATTGTGAACGTTAAGCAAGGACTACCTGTATGGTTTTCCCCCAAGGGTTGGCGAGGGTCCGTGACAGGCCTCTTAGGAGAATACATATGTTAGGTTGCTTGTTTTATTACTCTGTCAGGGTGTCATTGTTCTTTCCTCTTTATAATACCGTTTGCGTACTTTTTTTTAGCGCTGTGTGCCACCCAGAGTCGTCGTGGAGCTGTTCTTAGCACTGGATGTGGTAATGGCTAGGTCAGCCTTTCAGCGGCTTTGAATGGGGACAGGAGCAGCACTGCCTTGTGGCGACTGTGGGACTGGAAGCGGAAGACCGGTTTTCCGCTGTAGCAACAGGCCTGATTTTCTTCCATCTGTTTTGTGATTAGGAGAATTGGCAGTTGAACATGCACAGTACAGCCGAGGGACCATTCGCACATAAATAGTTTATTCCGCTAATGCCTCAGCTTTTCTTTAATAAGCCCGGGCAATGTACAGCATCCTGTGTGTTGTCTAGCCCAGTGTTTTCAGACTTGGCAACTTTAAAATGTGCGGAGCCCCATTTTCCTCTTTCAGCAGAACAGTTTGTGGAGTGTGGACTGTGCTTCACAGAAGACTGTGTAATAATAATCGTGCTAATCCTTCAGGTACTCAGCACCCCTGTTTTTAATATAAAAAAGGCTTGTTGCCTCCTCCTCTCTCAGATCCAAGAAGGTTTGGCTCTTTGTCCAGGCCATTGAGAAGGCCAGGCTGGGTTTTGAGGAAGTGAGCTGTCACCGTTGCTGTAGTATTCACTGTCACTTGCTCTAAAAGACCCAGGTGATTTCAGTATTAGAGCAGGAGTTTGAGATGATCGGCTGGTCACCTAATTAACATCTGAAGCCTGTTCCTAGCGTGGCTGCCTGTGAAAAAGGGCACTTCGTGACTTCCTTTGGCTTGCAAGTTGATGGCTTTGGCTCTTTCAGCATCAGGTCCTGGAGGCGCAGATAGAATTGGTCAATGCCATAGGCGCCGCCATTCTTTTGTGTCACTAAGAATCTGATTATGGTGCTTCTGTGCAGCGTAAGCACCGTAATTGATCCCATTACTAACAGCTGCTTGACAGTTCCTAAAACTGGAGGAATAACTGACGGAAACCAAGCCGAGGCAGACTGAGGGTTTTCTTTTTCAGAGATCTGTCAAGCAGAGGCAGCACAAGTGACACAGCCTTAGAAATAAATGCAGTAATCCACAAATGCAGGGATTTGTTTGGAGCACCAGATTTGAGGGCCGTGTCCTGCTGCATAGAAGTCCTTTCTGATTGTATCCCACTTTCTTCATTTCAATATGGTACGCCTTGATTTTACAAACCCCACAATCTGTATTTAGATTGTTGCGTGACAAATCAGTCCAGACAGTGCTCATTTTATGCACATTTATATACCGTACGTTGAGGTTTAACTGACACTTGGCTTTAATGGACATCTCCCTAACTGGTCCGCAAAAAGTGAGGTTTGAGTGTATTGTAATAGACAGTGAGTGTGAGTGGGTGGGTGTGCTTTGCTGTAGGGCTCATTTTTGGGTGTTAATGGTGTCAAGTAATACCTTGTGTGTAACCAGGTTACATTACAAAAATTAAGCCAGTTGCATAATCCCACTTTTGTGCTAGACTTTTTCAAACTTTTTAACTACTTAGACAAACTTGTAGAGGATGGGAAATCAGGGAATGGACTGAGGAAAATTGTACATTCTAGGAACCAGCATCCAAGGGTGAGTTGTGACAGTTGCAAAGCTGTCTATTGAATGGGGAGTTTTTGTTCAACATTTCTGAAAATGCTAGCTGCTTCCATGAATGTTCCTTCCCCCAGGCACTGGGACTAGGACGTTGGTGGAGCTGGCATGGGGTGGTTGGTGGATAAATGTGAGTTTTATCAGGGCCTCAACATTGCTTATTGTTTTAAATGGTCTTTTTAGTATATTGTGTTTTTATTTTGTCCATGTCCAGAGCGTTTTCTGGTAGATGGGCAGCTATATAAGTTTGTTAAATACGTGTGCATATTTTTACTTTCGCCCTATATATAAACTTTTCAAACCCTGAAAGTTTGGGAGTCAAGATTGGTAAATTCTGCGTTTTAAGTTTAAATAAGGACTCTGGCTTTCAAAGCAATTTCGTCTGACTCTGGTTAGGTCTGTTACATTTGTATACTGTATTAAAATGAGCATGCAGATTTCTTTTCAGATAGTAAGAAGACCCAAGTAACACTCCACTTGTGTTGCACGTCTTTGTTTCATAAGTAGCACACTCATTTTGCCAATGAGTTTGCCTTCTCCATTGTGAAGTCATTTATTCTGTTGTTGAGTTTGACAGCAATTTTTCCTGCAATCAGAACACTGAAAAATAAAGTGACATCCTGAATTAGGCTTACTGGATTTATTTTGAACGTCAAAGAATCAGAAAACGAACACGTGGTAAAAATAAGGATTGAAAGCTTGATTCAAACACTGTTGCACAAACAGATACAGAGGAAGGCGAAGAATTTATCCTTGCAGTTGTTGTTAGCAAACTGTCTAGCTGTAAGAGTGGTGCGTTCTGTCAAATATGAAGCACGTGAGTCATCTGTCAGAGATGGGGTACATACTGAACATGAGAATAAAAGTGCAGTGGAAAGTACAGAAGATGTTAGCACATTCCTTGCTGGAGAGAAAGAGGGAGATATAGCTGGAGAGTTCCTCCCCTTCTTTCCTTATAGTGAAAGAAAAAGAAAAAGCACGTCCAACTTATATAGAGAGCAGTGTTTCTCCACCTTGGCAACTTTAAGATGTGTGGACTTCAACTGTTGAAAAATTTAATAAATAAAATAAATAAATAAATAAATAAATAAACTCCCAGAATTCCCCAGGCTACCTTGGGTTTGCATTTTTTTTCCTTCCAGTCTGTCTGTATTTTGGCTGCCTCTTTATATGACCATGGAAGAATTCTGCGGTGGGAGTGAATCTCCCCTTTTTAAAAAGTCATGCATGTTAGCAGAAACCATACCCCACTTATTGTGCCCTGCCAGGATGGTGAAGCAAGCATAAAGTCTGAACTTGACTTATGCTGCTGTGTTGAGATGCAAGGAAGACGATTGTTGACAGGACAGTTTCAAAGAATTATTCTGTGAGCCAGTTACTGTACAGGCTATAGGTAGGTGACTGGTTTATTCAGAGCTGCTTTTTGCATTGACATTTGATTATCTCTTTAGAAAATGAAACATCCTGTTCTTGGTTTAAAAATATAGTTAAGAATACATTTATTTAAGTCTTTTACTGTAGGAAGAAGTTCTTAGATCCTCAGTGGGAATCTAACCTACCTAGGTGTACTAATCTTTCTCTTCAGAGGTTGATACCCTTGATAATTTTTTTGTATTAGACCAAATAATTTGTTTAAGTAACCTGCTGTTTTCCTATCAGCTGTTCAGATAGATTCCATTAGTAGATATTCAGAATGAATCAAGCTTCCTACTAAAACAACAGGGCTATCAGTTGTGAAGAAGGGGTATATGGTGCCCTCAGTACTATTCTGTAAATGTTCTCCTTGAATATTTGAGGCAATCCTTTAAAATGAGGAATGTTTTATTTCCCTAATATGTTTTGAACTGTTTATGCTTGATGAATTGCATTCTTTTTGTAAAAAAGATTTTATACTGTCTTTGCTGTCATTGTTTAATACTGCTGGGCTTTTGACCAGATTCAGTTTTTAAAGCCCATGCTGCTGGGCCGGGCACCGCATTAGTAAGTTGTCTTGATTAGCAAGTTGGGACTGTTCATCTTGCCATCATGGTAATTGTAATCTTTACAGAGATTCAGGACAGTCAGCTTTCTCCCAACCTCCCGCTGCTGACGACACACGCAACGCAAGGGCAGACTTTCTTTAGTGAGACCCTTTTTCAGCAAACAGGATTGGATTTTGCTGCATTGAGGTAAGACTGAACCTTCCATATGTTTAAACTCTATTAGCCTCTTTGTTTAAGGCAGTTACTTTCTGTTTGGTTTAATCATGTCTAGATTTAAACCCTTTCTAGATCATGTCCCAAAATCCACAACATTTGACTTGCTAGCTAGATGGTTCCCTGGGGTCACCGTCAGGCCTGTGACCAGTTGGGGCAGTGTCTGGAGCAGACTGGAGAAGGGCTGTGTGCTATTGCCCCTTCTATGAAAGCCACACGGAAAGCGAAAAAGCGTAGTTTCTCTCCACCGTTGCTTTTGCTTACAGTGGCAGCAGCAGAAAGGCATTGCTTATAGTTTTTTGAGTTCTTTTGCAAACACATTATTTGTAGGACAACTTCACCTTAGTTTCAAAAGTGCTGCGGCTGCTTTCTGGAAAAGCCAAACACAGAAGAAAGAATGCCACTTACATCCTAGTAGAAACATGCTACTACTTCCTGTAAAGGCCCAGTAGAAAGAGGGAGAAACAATTCTTGCTGAAGAGGAATGGTTTTCTTTTTTCATGTGGATTATCTGAAGAGTGGACTTTTGCAAGAAGTCAAGGCAATCTTTTTCTTCCCTGGAGGAAGTCATTACAGGTAATCCTCAACTTACAACCACAATTGGGACCGGAACTTCTGTTGCTAAGTGATGCGGTCGTTAAGTGAGTTGCACCTGATTTTACAACCTTTTTTGCTCGGTTGTTAAGTGAATAACCACCATTGTTAAGCGAATCACATGGTCGTTAAGCGAATCCAACTTCCCCCATTGACTTTGCTTGTCGGAAGGAAGGTTGCAAATGATGATCACGTGAGACTGGGACTCTGCAACAGTTGTAAATACATGCTGGTTGCCAAGCGCCTGAATTTCGATCACATGACTGTGGGGACGCTGTGGTGGTCGTAAGTGCAAGGACCTGTCATAAGTCACTTTTTTCAGCACCGTTGTAACTTTGAACTGTTGTTAAACGAATGGTTGTAAGTCGAGGAGTACCTGTATTCTATCTCCCAAGCCAAAGTTGCATGAAAGCAAAGAATGCTTGCTAGCTGAGGTAGGTCCTCTGCTGGGAAGCAGGCCAGTATACAGTGGTACCTTGGGTCACGAACGCTTCTGTTCACGACCAATTCGGGTCACGAACAGCCCCTTTCGAAAAATTTTGCTCCCGTCCGCGAACTCCACATCGGGTGACAAACAGGTTCCGCGGCCATTTTCCCTGCCGTGACACGTGGTGGTGGCTTCCTAGAGGGGGGGGCACTCTCCCTCAAAGCAAAAACCGCCTCCCCACCCGCCTTCCTGTCCTCCACGCCCGGAGTCGCCTCGAGCAAGGTTGGCATTCTTTCTCTTCGCTCTGCCCTGGAG